GGCGGGTTAACAGACTACTTCACCTGGAATGATCTCTTGAAATATGCGTTAACTACCGATGCTAAACAAGCTGTTATACCTTGTATTTAGCTGGAACAAAGTTGGTCCAATAAAAGATATTACCTCACCCATCTTGTCAAACAAACAAAAAAAAAGACCTTCTGGAATTCAAGGCGGATTGTGGGCTGCACTTGTATCTTTGCCCAGAACAACCAGAGTCCACACAGCGAGAACAGTTGGGAAACGCCACAGAGCTAGACTGGCCCGCCTGCCAAGTCCTTACCAGCTGGGGGTGATTTCTGTAATCCAGCAGCTGAGCAAAGCAGCATACTCCTGTGTGACAGCACATCAGACGGTAACCACCAATGGCTCACATGGCGCTGGAAATATTTGTAAGTTGGGGAGCTGAGTTGCACCGCCCTTTAGACCTGTTGATTGGTTTGCCAGTTCTCTCAGGACGGACAGACTGGACTCCATTGCTGCAAATGGCATTCGGTCTATTCAGTTTGGGAAAGTTAGCAATTCTCATCGCCTTGGGGGTATCTGCAGAGCCCAGGGCAGACGGCAGGACGCTGGGGCTGGCAGGGCCAGCAGGCTGCAGAGCCTGTGGCAGGGCCAGTGGGCAGCAGAACCCTGAGGGCTGGTAGCGCCCATGAGGCTGGTGGGTGACATGACTCCAAGGGCCGACCAGACCCCAGGATGCCAGCAAAGTCCATGGTGGCAGGACCCCTGGGAGCTGGCAAAGTGCTTGGAGCTGACAGGACCCCACTCGGGCCACCTGGAAACCGAGACCCAGGGCTGGAGGAGCTGGCAGCAAGGGGAAGCCGGATGCAAGACCTGGGGGCACATGCCTAAGAACGGGTCAGTCCCGTGAAACCTATTTCTGCAGGCAGCACTTGCTGTGGTGGGTCACACCATAAATGAGAACCGCTTCCCACACTCACTATTGTGTATACAAGCAGATCCTCAGCTGCGGTCAATTATACAGACCCTTTCACCTCTATAGTGCACATTTGCCACAGCAGGGACGTGACCCACATGGTCCATCATAAAGTGCTTTGGGATCCTTCCGAATGTTGCTTTCCGTCTCTTCCTGCTATCTCTTTCCTGTACAACACATCGGTGTTGGCATAAGCAAAATACTTGGATGATTAGGGGACTGGAGGACATGAGCTACAAGGAGAGGCTGAGGGACTGGGGCTTATTTAGTCTGCAGAAGGGAAGAGTGAGGGAGGTTTGATGGCAGCCTTCAACTCCCTGCAGGGAGGTTCCAAAGAGGCCAGAGAGAGGCTGTTCTCAGTGGTGATGGATGGCAGAACAAGGAGCAATGGGCTCAAGTTGCAGTGGGGAAGGTCTAGGTTGAATATTAGGAAAAACTATGTCACTAGGTGGGTGGGGAAGCACTGGGATGGGTTCCCTAAAGAGGTGGTGGAATCTCCATCCCAAGAGGTTTTTAAGTCCTTGCTTGACAAAGCCCTGGCTGGGTTGATTTAGTTGGAATTGCTTCTGCTTTCGGCAGGGGGCTGGACTCGATGACTCCTGAGGTCTCTTCCAGCCCTAGGATTCTATGATTGTATTTACTTCTCTCTGGATTGAATCATGTGGCTCATTCCAAACATAAGGGCGAAAGCCATCAGTCCAAAAGGAGATTATAAAAACATAAAAGATATTTAGGAAGCCGGGAGTGTGTGAAGGAGGAGAGTTATACAGTGAAAGTTTCACAACTTCAGCTGAAGTGTTTGGCCACTAGTTGAATGTTGCAGTGTATCTGAAACCTAGCCATGAGCTGAATAGGAGGTCAAACATTGTGAAAGGCATGTAGGAAGCCAATCACCATTCTCAGTTATAATCGACTCCTATCTGTATACTGAGCAAACATGATTAAACCAGAGTGCAAAATTGGCTTGGTTGATAAGATTTGAATTTGGCATAATTGTTGTGCCCACTTGGGTATGTTTACTGGTTTACAGGAGTATGAATAATCATGTGTCTGGTAGCAGGAAGTGATATCATCTGGCATTACCATTCCAAAATCACGACAGGGATCCAGATCAGATCCTTAGCTAGCGTCAGCCAGCATAGGTCCACTGACCTTTGGGGATCTCCATTGATTTACAATGCCTCCGGCTCTGTGCAAAAGGCTAAACTCGAAATCAGGATGGTATGTAGTGAGAATGCAGAACCGTATGAGCACATGGATCTTGCAGGGTATTGCATGACCCACGTGGATCTGCTTGGTCCAGTCCTGCCTCAAAGATGCTTCACGGGACCTAGGTTGTGCAGTGAAGAAAGTCAGGTGTCTACGTGGTAGGATGAAGGCTGACTCCTTCAGGAGCTATCACAGGATATTAGTGGGGTGTGGACAACAACTGGAAACCAGATTGACATAGCTACGTTGCTCAGGGCTGTCCAAAATGTCATGCCATGAGCAGCGCAGTTAGATTGACCTCACCCCTGTGTAGACATCGCTGGGTCCTCGCTACCACCTCTTGGAGAAGTGGATGAATTACTCTGATGGAGAACCAACCCCCTTCTGTTGATGTAGGAAGCAGCTACACTGTGGCATTACGCCTCACAACTATAGTGTAGACATCAGAGGAGCCAGCAGACTTTCCAGACTCCTGGGGGGGCGGCTCTGTGCTCCCAGAAGGGGCAGGGTCTGGGCAGAAGGGGCGGGACTCAGGGCAGCCAGCCTGCAGCGCTGCTGTTATGGTGGCAGCAGCTGGAGCCCTTGGTCCTTTTGCATCGCCTTGGTGGGCCTGGTAGATATCCTCTGGGTTTCTCATCTACCAAAGAGTGGGGTATGAGAGAAAGCCTGGCATTGTTGTTAAGGCAGTGGATTGTGACTCAGGGGAAATGGGTTTAATTCCATTCTCTGCTACAGAGTCCTGCTGTCACCTTTGCCATGTCACTTAGCATTTGCATGGCTCAGTTCCCCCTGTGTCCAAAGGGGAGAATAGCATTGCCCTATCTCACAGGGGCATTGTGAGGGTCTTATTGACACTGGGCATGAGAGTCATGTAAGTACCTAGATAGATAGGACAGTGGGTCCTATTCCTCCAGTGCAGACAGGCCTGGCACACTGCCCTCTAAAGCATGTGTGAGGTCTGATGCCACGTGAACAGCTTTTCTGAACCAAGTATTTAGAGAAAAATGTCTTTTGCCAAATGAAAAAAAAAATGAGGGAGAAGCTTAATCAAGCACTTTGTAGGGAGAGTCAAAGGTTCTTGCTGAGGTCAGAGAGCCCCAGAGTCTCCCCTGACATTGAATGTTTGTGCCAGTGCAGACTGATGATGAATCTATGTGCTTGTTTGGGGGAGGGGGAGCATACGTGCATATATTAAGTATTGTGCAACCCACCAAAAGGGAGTCTGCTAGGAGAGGTCTTAAAAACCAAAGTCCTGTCGGCACAGAGTGGCTCTCACAGATCCCATGAGGGAACTTTTTTAAGAGTGGGATTTTGCCCTGGAGTCCCCAGCCAACATCCCCTGCCCCCACAAATTGTTGCACTTTCTGTTGTCGGCTGGCATATGCCATTCTTCATTCCCGACCTAGCCATGTGCCAGCCCTGTTATGCATATACACACAGTCTGTAATGTGCTTTAGAATGCAAGGCCTTACTTAAAGGGTTATTATTAATGATTATTATTATTATTACAAGCAGAATGACTGAGTCTTACATTTATATTTCTCTCCCCCAAATGTCTTTTTTTTTATCTGAAGTCTTAGTATTGCTCTTACTCCCGGAAGACACTGCACACACCTGGGGAACAGACGGATTCTGACAGGAGAGACACCGTACAGGTAAAACCTGATGAACTGGAGTAGGGGCAGGCTTACTCAGACTTTGTTGTTTGTGTTTGTTTTAGGTTATTTTTTGTTAGTACCTTGTTAACTGAAGAACCACTTAGAAGAGCAGACTCTTTATTACAGATTCATGACTTCACCTCTTCAGTTAAGAGCGGTGAGAGCTTGTACTTCACCATACCTGAGGTTTCCAGTGATAAAACAAATACACTCCTCCCATGGATGCTAATAATCATAGTACCTAACTGTTACACAGCACTTTCCCTCAGTAGGCACTTTGCAAAGATGGGCAGTATCATTATTCCCATTTTACAGTCATGGACCCTGAGGCCTACACGGGCCAAATGACTTGCCCAAGGTTGTCTAGCAGGCTAGTAGCAGAGCTGAGAGAAGACCCCAATGTTGTTAGGTTGAGAGCACAGTGCCATGCTTTTATTTTCCTTTGCAATTCACCTCGTAAAAAAGTTACTTTTAATTTGCCTTTGCCCTTCCTGTTTCAGGAATCAGGAAACAGAAAAGTCAGCAAGGAGCTTTGTTTTTGTCACGTCCCAGCCCAGTTTTGCAGACTCAAGGGGTTCATATAGGGTAGGGTTTCTCAGCGTGGTCCATGGACCCACTCTGAGAAAGCTGCTAACTGGCTGCTCCGGTTTATTTATTTACTGGCTCCACGGTCACGGAGCCTCACAGCTCCGGTTGGCTGCAGTTTGCTGTTTGCAGCCAAGGGGAGCTACAGGGAAGTGGCGTGGGCTGGGCGTCTGCTTCCCACGGCTGCCCTTGGCTGCAAATGGTGGACCGCAGGTAATGTGACCAACCTTTCGGAACGACACCCATCAGATATAAAATGATGTTGTGCTCTTATCGGCTTGTCTGTGCTGGCCCGGCCCCTGCTGCCAAGTGAACGCCCGCCCCGATATGACGGGTTTCCCTTCTGCGCCCATATTGCTGAATACACATGGTGCTGGGGAGAAATGTCCCCTGTCTATTAAATGTCATATTAAGGCTCTGAGACATGGAACTGAGCTGGGCTGAGCAAATGGCATCTGGGGGTACATTGCTTGCATTACAGAAAGTCATCCCCGCCCTTCCGAGGTAGTTAGGTGCCTAACTCCCATTGGAATCAATAGGTAAGGGCCCAAATGCTTGTGAGGATCTGCCCTGAGGAGAGTGAATTCTTTAATCTAAGGGCACCTCACCTGTAGGCTATCCTCCTTCAGGTACAGCCATTCTGTTCCCACCCAGAAGAGTGAGGTCATGGCTCTAATCTCCCTCCCAGATACGCTCCCTCTGCGTTACGCCTCCTTGTCTGGCGTTGTCCTGTATGCATTGTGAGAAGGAGATTCCTGTGTTTTCTCTCCTGGTGGGCCATAATTTGTGCTCAGAATTCCATGCTGGGGAACTCCCAGCAGCGTGCAAACCACAGGGAGCATTTACCTTTCTCACGCAAGCTGCTCCCTAGTCCTGTCTGGATTACTCCCCTAGGATTTGGCACAGGGGCCTTTATCACCACTGTGTTTTACAATGTTTGCAGATACAACACGCCTCTAACTGTATTGCCCAGACTACATTCCCTGCAGCATTACAGCCGCTGTATCTGCCTCTCTCTTTCTACCTATGGAAAGGGCTGTGTGGGGAAAAAAATACCAATGTGATTATAAAGGTCTCTGGTTTTATACCTTCCTACTACTACCAGACTAGAAGACTTGGGCCCTACCTGAGTTATAACCTCGTATACTTCATTATAGCCACAGAGGTTTTGGAAATGCGTTGGGTGGTTGTCACATGGGTCAGAGGTTTGGTTCGATTCAGAAAATTGCCCCAAAATCTAAATTTTTGTCCATCATGTATAGGAACAATGTTCCCACTAATGTTTCCTATCCATATGTGGAATAAATTTTGTTATATGCACCGAGACATTCATAGGTGTGCACCACCAGTAGAAACACATGCTGCCAGCTGGGGGCGCTCTGCTAATCAGCTGGAAAGCATTTGAGTGGCTGCCCAAGACCTATGCTTACAGGGAACACTATATATCAGTGTTTCTCAGCGTGGTCCATGGACCCACTCTGAAAAAGCTGCTAACTGGCTGCTCCGGTTTATTTATTTACTGGCTCCACGGTCACGGAGCCTCACAGCTCCGGTTGGCTGCAGTTTGCTGTTTGCAGCCAAGGGGAGCTACAGGGAAGTGGCGTGGGCTGGGCGTCTGCTTCCCACGGCTGCCCTTGGCTGCAAATGGTGAACCGCAGTTAATGTGAGCCACCAGTCTCTGTGGCTGTGGAGCTGGTAAATAAACAAACTGGAGTGGCCAGTTAGCAGCTTTCTCAGAGTGGGTCCATGGACCACGCTGAGAAACACTGATATATAGTGTTCCCTGTAAGCATAGGTCTTGGGCAGCCACTCAAATGCTTTCCAGCTGATTAGCAGAGCGCCCCCAGCTGGCAGCATGTGTTTCTACTGGTGGTGCACACCTATGAATGTCTCGGTGCATATAACAAAATTTATTCCACATATGGATAGGAAACATTAGTGGGAACATTGTTCCTATACATGATGGACAAAAATTTAGATTTTGGGGCAATTTTCTGAATCGAACCAAACCTCTGACCCATGTGACAACCACCCAACGCATTTCCAAAACCTCTGTGGCTATAATGAAGTATACGAGGTTATAACTCAGGTAGGGCCCAAGTCTTCTAGTCTGGTAGTAGTAGGAAGGTATAAAACCAGAGACCTTTATAATCACATTGGTATTTTTTTCCCCACACAGCCCTTTCCATAGGTAGAAAGAGAGAGGCAGATACAGCGGCTGTAATGCTGCAGGGAATGTAGTCTGGGCAATACAGTTAGAGGCGTGTTGTATCTGCAAACATTGTAAAACACAGTGGTGATAAAGGCCCCTGTGCCAAATCCTAGGGGAGTAATCCAGACAGGACTAGGGAGCAGCTTGCATGAGAAAGGTAAATGCTCCCTGTGGTTTGCACGCTGCTGGGAGTTCCCCAGCATGGAATTCTGAGCACAAATTATGGCCCACCAGGAGAGAAAACACAGGAATCTCCTTCTCACAATGCATACAGGACAACGCCAGACAAGGAGGCGTAACGCAGAGGGAGCGTATCTGGGAGGGAGATTAGAGCCATGACCTCACTCTTCTGGGTGGGAACAGAATGGCTGTACCTGAAGGAGGATAGCCTACAGGTGAGGTGCCCTTAGATTAAAGAATTCACTCTCCTCAGGGCAGATCCTCACAAGCATTTGGGCCCTTACCTATTGATTCCAATGGGAGTTAGGCACCTAACTACCTCGGAAGGGCGGGGATGACTTTCTGTAATGCAAGCAATGTACCCCCAGATGCCATTTGCTCAGCCCAGCTCAGTTCCATGTCTCAGAGCCTTAATATGACATTTAATAGACAGGGGACATTTCTCCCCAGCACCATGTGTATTCAGCAATATGGGCGCAGAAGGGAAACCCGTCATATCGGGGCGGGCGTTCACTTGGCAGCAGGGGCCGGGCCAGCACAGACAAGCCGATAAGAGCACAACATCATTTTATATCTGATGGGTGTCGTTCCGAAAGGTTGGTTCGCTGTCTGAGAGATAGAGTAGGGCACGTCTAAGGACAGGCACCAGGATCCAGCAGGCAAAGCCAGGACTGAGCTACGAGTTCTGAGCCCAATTCCAGGGCCTGCAGCTGCCCCTGACTGGCTGTGCAATTTTTTTCCCCCTCCCCACCTTTATATATTTAGATTGTCAACTGTTTGGGGGTAGGGAGTGTCCAGATCTCAACTGAGGCCTTCACCTGCTACTGAAATGTGATTTACTATTATCAGTGTACGAGTGTCACTCCCCCGCACCCATATCAGCCCAAGGCAAAGAGGGACTTTCCCAGCATTACTAAACCTGGGAGAAGTAGGTATTAGAAGAGAATCATGCTTTTCTTAACAAACTATATGCTTGCTTGTTCCACTGGGTTTTATGGTAAAAGATATTTGTCCAACCAATACCAACAAAGCCCAGGTTCCATTTGTGTTTCATTTCCCCTATGTTCCTGTTATACTCCCCTTAGGGCAAAACCGCAACACAGCAGATAAAATGGTGCTTTTAGGCCATTGTGGTATAGGGACGTGGATCAGGCTGAAATCTGATAGCTTTAGACACGTCCAATAGTACCCAGCCTCGTAAGTAGTCTCATTAAAATCAATACAGTATGGAGTAGGGGGTTTACCAACAGGCGCAATCTAGACGACTGTAAAATCCTAGATGAGAGCCACCACCTGTACAAGATCCGTTGTTATTCTGTTCTGCTGCTGGATCAGTCTGATGGCTTTACTCTGGGATGTTCAGAATAGAATCAATTTTAAAAGCTCATAGGCCACTTCTAGTTACACTCTGATCTAATGCCAGCTAATCGCTATGGCAAATTAGTGCTCAAATACTCACCGTCCTGCAAACAGAAGCAGTGGGAAAAGCAAGCAATTGAAACGCTTAAAACACTTTACTCTCATGGAGAACTACTGTTGCATTATGTTGCGGCAGTGGTCAAAGATCACAGTAGGATCGCTCGGGCATGGAATCATTATAGTAGGTACAATGGTACGAACCCACAAGGCCAGATCCTCAACTCCTGTATGCCAGAGTTACTCCACTCCACCTATGGACTATATAGGAGTCCTGCATCTGACCCGTTCCTCTTGTCCCTCCGTAGTTTCTTGAAGGCTAAGATCAACCATTATCTCTGCAGACTGAATGCAAAGAGAGGGTGAAACCCTCCCATTCTGAGTTAGCAGCATTTTACAAAGCACTTCACACCAGAGTAAATGTCAGGCCCCGAGTAAGACAGAGGAGGATCAGGCTCATTGGAAGGAATGGGCAATTAACAAATAAAAGCTTCACAGAGGCTTCTGCCAAAAGAGCTCCAAATGGAGGTTCTAAGTACCCCACTTGGCACTTGCATTCTTTAGGCATTCTGCATAGCTGACTTTTTTCTACAAACAAAGGAGCAAGGTCTGTCACAGAGAGGGTGAATCATCAACCAAAGCCATTTCCCAGCAGTCTGGAGCATCCCTCTTACCCCTTAATGTCCCCCTCTGTTACTACCACCACTAAGGCAGGTCCCCTGATGCGAGTGCCAATATTCTAGCCGTTCTGTCATCTAATGCTCAGTGCAGGTCTAGGCCCTGGTTTACACTAGGACGTTAGTCCAAAATACACGCCCCCCCAGCTTTGAATTAGTAAGTGATGCGTCCACACTACCAAGCCTGTTCTTCCGGAATAAGGGGCCAGAGAATTCAAACTCTACTCTGGCTTTTCATGAGGAATAGCGCTAATTCCAAACTTCCGAGTCCAAAATAACGCTAGTGTGGATGCTCCGGTGCCACTAATTTGAAATAATTGGCCTCCGGGAAGCCTCTTGTAGCTCCCCAGAGAACTTCCTGGGGTTCTGAGTCTGAGGTAGCGCATCCACATTAACAGAGCCTGCCTTGAACTAATTTCAGTGCTTCCTCATAGTGAGGACACGCAAGTTCGAATTTGTTAAATCGGGAGTTCTTAAGTCGAATTTAGTAATTTCTAAATAATTTCCTAGTATAGACATGGCTTAGGTGACAGAGCACTTAAAATACCAGAAGCTGCCAACAGTATCCTGTCTTCACTAGCACCCATATCCTGGTACCAGCTTGGGAAATGGACCAATAGCAGCAGTGATGAGAAACTTGGGGGAAAAAGTCCAGAGTAGACCCCGCCCACCAACTTCTCAAAACGAACACTACAGGGAGAAAATGAGCAGCAGGTTTTGGTCGGGTACTTCAATATCAAGCATAAACTGGCACACAGGCAGATGTAAAATAGAACTATGTTCATCTTAAACTATAAGAAGATGCCATATTCATGTTTGCATACAACAGATTTTACTATAACCAATTATGTGACATGCCTGAAGAAATCCCAGCTCAGTGCAAGAGATGCCATTTGTGCTCCTAGTACTATACAGAACATTTCTATAATGCAAGGATTATGATTAAAGGGAATGCTAACACATATAGGGTATGTCTGAACTTATGTCTGAATAATTCCGAACTACCGGTACACCTCATGGAAGCCTAGTCCGAACTACCTAGTTCGAGCCCCGTGTAGCCGCGCTGCACGGGGTTCGAACCAGCGGGGTTTTAAAAATGGCGGCTCCCCGCTTATGCAAATGAAGCCCGGGAGAATGCTAACACATATATTGTTCACATAGAGGAGCTGGAAATGGAACTGTC